GGTAGCTACGGGGGACACTGTCTGCTTGGTGCTTGGTTGGTTGGATTCCAAGGAAGTTCTTGCAAGCTGATCCGACCTCAATTGGTTGTGAAATTGTCGCTACGCAGGCGCAGTTTTTGGGCCACGACCGTAAGATGCTCCGTCCACGAGACGCACGAGTGAAAGAGAGGTGTCCAAGACGGTAGAAGCAAGAGGTGTGGAGAGATGGCGGGTGGAGAACTTTCTCTTTTCACAAATTCTACGCACGCAGTTAAATCAAAAACAAGAACTTGAGACTTGCTGTACTCTACAGCAACAACAAAAGGCCACTGATGCACTGATGCGTTCAATTCCAATTAGTTCTTGTTGCTCTTATTCTTCGCGCTGAATAAAAATACACTTGAACGTTTGGAAGCGAGCGAATTGTTGTTTTGCGGGCCGGGTTAAAAAATTATTGATGACCTAATAATTTTTTTGAAGATGGTCATTGAACGAAGGTTGGCGTGGAGGACATTTAAAATCCTCATAGATACGTGAGCGGCAAAGAATTATGTAAAGCCCGTAAAGGAGCTAAAACCCATAATGCCGGTCGACTCCCAATTTACTGTAACTTCCATTCATGGCTCCAGTAGAATAAGAGGAAAGTGTTTGATGCATTTATTCGGCCTAAAGCCCCCTTTCTTTTACTCGATCCTATCAAGGCGTTCGATGCCATCATAGGTTTCGACCTGCTAACGCAGGCCGAAGCTGCATTGGACTTATGTAACAACGTAATCAGGTACGATAACGTTGCTGAACAGTTAAAATACCAAGAATGCGACAATGTTAATTTCACAAACATTGATTTGTTATGTCTATGTTGACGACGCAATAATCTTCTCTGAGAACGCGGCCGCCTACGTTAGAACATTGACACAGTTCTTAAATGTCTATACCAAGCCAACATGTCAGTGGCACCAGAAAAAAATTAATTCTTTAAATTCTTAGGGTGAAAAGATGGAACTGAAAAGGTAAAAACCAAAACCAACCAAACTAACAATCTTGTTCAGCCTTAGGACTTTTATAGGTTTGGCCAGTTAAAACAGAAGTTTTGTTAAAGACTTCACGACTATAGCTAGACCACTTACCTCCCTACTCAAGGGAGAGAATGGCACTGATAGTAAACACAAAGAAGGTTTCAATCGAATTTAATGAGATCCAAAGCAGAGCGTTTCGGACACCAGCGAGACATCTTATCATCAGAAAATTTCCTTCGACTTGACCACCGATGTCTCAGCAAGCGGTATCGGTAGCCATTACTATGATATCTCGCACATTGAAAGACTGCGAGCTGAACTACGCAACTAACGAAAGATAATTGTTAGCTATCGTTTGGGCCATAAGAAAATTACAAAATTACCTATATGGCACCAAAGAGATCCAGATTTTTACGGACCATCACCCGCTAACACTAACCCGAAAATTAAAGGATGGAAAGCATTCATCGAAGACCGTAATGCTTAAATTTTTTTCACAAGCCCGGTAAGGAAAATTTGTGACCGACCCCTTGTCCCGCCCGAACATTAATGCAATACAAAACGAACCCCAGTCCAAAGTAGCCACTGTGCACAGCGAAATCTCGTTGACCTACACGGTCTAATCTACCGATAAACCTTTAAACTGCTACAGGAATCAGATAATCCTGGAAGAAGCAGGAAAGCCCCTACGGCAACACTTCAAATTGGAAGAAAAAACCGCCATATTATCCACTTTGACATTAAACCCTCCCTGCTCACACACACTTAAAATATAATTTGTATATAAATTTAAAAATATAAAAAAAGCGTTCTAAGTCTGTCTTGCGAAACAGAGGACTTTTTTGGCTGGACGGTCAGATATATTCTGTAAGTCAGACCCAATATCAAGAGTCACATCGAAAGTAGGATGATACGGAGTCGCGTCGGCCTGCGTCAGAGTCGCCACCCTGGCTAAACTGACTCTCACTGGATCAGAGACGAAACAAAGATCGAGCAAGCGCCGTAAGGAATTTCGTACATGGTTTACTTGAGACAGCGAAACGTCGAACAAGCCAGCGAAAAAGTCATGTTGTGTACAAGTTAGTAGAGTATTGGTGGAATTATTTGAGCACCAAATTTTTTTAATTTTTAATTTTTGGACGTTGATGCACTACGGTCTGTACATTCAAGTGGCCCATATGACACCAGGCACGTGGCTGTTTGGGTTAGGTGTCAGTAGGCGCGATGGAAAATATACTACAGAATTCGAGGAAATTGACTATCTACGTTAGATTAGTGTGTACAAATCATTATAATTTGCACATCAGACTTTAAAGGTTCATGCAATTCGAAGGAGGTTCTACAGTGGCGCAACACTAATGGTATATAGGATCTAGTGGTTTTACATGGTACGTGCAAATTGAGCTGACTCAACAAGTCAGCACTTTCCACATCACCATGAATAAGGTTATAAAAGAAGGTTATCCCAAGCATCGTTCTATGAATGGCTAAGGACGGTAAGTTAATTAAAAGGAGTCTATTTGAGTAGGAAGGTAATTTTTGGTTTGCATCCCAATTTGAACCGCGTAGAGCGAACAGTAAAAAGTCCTTTTAAACAGGCAGGCAATGTCATTGTATTCCTCGCAAAGCTTGACATCATCCGCGTACATAAGCAGTATGGAGTTAGTAAAGACTTTGGGCAGGTCATTTATAAATAATGTAAACAATAAGGGTCCCAAATGGCTTCCTTGTGGGACGCCAGATGTAACCCTTAGAACATTGGATAAATTATTCTTTAAAAGAACCTTTTGCGTTCTGCCATTCAAATAACTTGAGATCATATTATCGAGTTTTCTAACGAGGAGAGAATGGTTAACAGAGTCAAATGCTTTACTGAAATCTGTATAGATTACATGCATGCTGCCCACCAATAGCAGTTTTTTTGCGCCTAGGAGACTCATTTAATAGCGTAAGGCTATTAAATTGAGTGTCCAGCGCCAAGAACATATCAAGAGTTTTACGAAAACTCGTTAAAATGCCCTTAAAACCGCGTTTGGTTTGCCGCTTGAAAGACATCATTTCCCTTTCTACATCGCGACAGGCCTCACAGCAGTAACGCAGACCGATGTTTTTTTTTACATCGTCCAACGTCCGAGCCGCCCCACCAATACACTTGGCGTGCATGACGTTGTCGCACAGCCAGCAGCCGATTGTAAGGTCACCTGCAGCAATTGCCTTTTTGCAGGTTGTGACGAAACAGACAATATTTACGGACATTATAAGGACTTACCACTGAACTTGTACTTGAAAAAAAAAACAACAGAGCTATAAAGAAAGAAGTGAAGAGTCACAGCGAGAGGGAGAGAGCGGGAGAGCGTATGAGATCAGATAAGATAAGAAGTGCAGCGGCACAGCTAAAGCGAAAGAGTGGAAGAGCGTGGGAGATAAGTAGATAGCAAAAACGTTTAGCTGTTGCGACGGCGCAAACAAAAGCTACACGAAGAAGGCATAAAAAGGAATGCAGCACAACTAAATTGGGAAATAAAACCAATTATAAGCACACATTAGAATAGATGCATGCACACGCGAAATGAACGGGAAGTTATTAACACAAAATAGAAAATTTAAGTTGACCCCGTGGTTATTTTCAAACTTTAACACAAAACGAGAGCGCAAGAAAAAAACACGTCCGTTCGCTTGGAAAGATGAAAGTAATATATATTCTATGAGTCCTTGGTAAAAATGCATTATAAGTACAAAACAAATTATACAAGCGCGATGGACGATCCCATGCAATAAAATTCAGCCGTTTCAAAGTCTGATGTCTTTAACAGAGGATTCGATTCATTGGACCCACTGTTGTCTACTCTAAACATATAGAAATAGAAAGGTTCGATAAATTAATACAATTAAAAATTATAACTTTTTCAGTTTTTAACAGATTTTCATCAAATTTACGATATATAACCCACTTTTATTACTCTAGAATTTTAATTTTAGTTTTATGAAAATCGGATGACTATATCATATAACTGCCATAAACACGATAGTTAGATATAGGGGAAAAAGCTAAACTATGAATTGAAAACTGTAAATATAATATATATGTATGTATAAGTGAATGAAATGAAAGCAGGCATTACTCCATCGTTTTTTTAAACAGAAATATATATAATTATATTGTATTAGTTCCTAGTCATCGAAGCTCTATCTGCAAGGGTACATAAACTTCGGCGTGCCGAAGTTAGCTTCCTTTCTTGTTTTTTAATAATTTCTGCAATTAGGCGATCAAATCAAAGTAAATATTCGTAATAAGCAAACACAAAATAAATGAGCCTAACAAAATGCATTGATACGGAACCAATATGCTCAGGTTCGCCCTGCTGAAACGCTATCTTAGAGAAGACGAAATTGTACTTCTAGATAAAGACAAACTTTTAATTTAGTTTCGAATCGATATAATATATAGCAATTGGAGACACTTTGGGGCTAGAATACATATATTGCTACTATTTTATATAAAACTCCTATTTCTACTTTATTTTGAATAGATTTTAATCATTTTGAATCATTCAATCTTTAACCAGATTTGTCAATGTTTTGGAGAAGCCACAGTTTTTCGGTCAGCTGTTATCGGATGGAGGATAGAGATGTTGCTCTGTGGAAATCGGAGTTTCCCATCTACGACAATTGTGGAAAGACAGGTAAACAATGTTGACCTGTATTATTTGCTTAATTACAACGTTTCTTTTAAGTTAAATCATATATAATGGGGCTTGTCATTAAAAGGCCCTCTGTGCGAGCAAAGTTTGCAATCAATAGCAATATGCAACGATATACATACAAACTTCGACGTGTCGAAGTTAGCTCTCTTTTATCTTTTATTAGAAGAAATTTTTAGAAATTATTGAATAACTATATAATATGTTATTAAACGCATATAAAATAAGAAAAATAGCAATCCCACAATGGTGTATAACCCTTAAAAAAGCGGTAGTAACCTTTGATTCACGTTATGTAATTTACCTGTAGCAGACGCGTAAGTTTCGAATCCCTAAAAGGTACATGTTTGGTTTTACCATTAACCAACGATGATATAACATTTCCCAAAGCCGAAAGTGATAAATTAATTTTAGTTGCTTCTTTAAGGCGTTCTCCCTGAGCTCCCGTCTTACGCTGCCTTTCTGAGCCGGCCAAGTCCACCAGGTTTAATTTTCCTCGCCGTATTCCGGCTTGAAGAATTTCACGATCAAGATCATCTTCAAGATCATGATCTGATGTAATATTTGTAGTAAAGTTTTGTGATTGCTCCAAGGTAATGGTAAACACTGTATGCGATCGTGAACTTTTTTCATTCATTAATGTCGCAGCCGTTATCCGATTTTTATTGCCTACATTTAACCAGCGATAACATTGTACTGCATTAATAACTGGCTGGGAACTTAATGTTGGCACTGTAACTCCAATACCCGGCATGTCTTTAAGCTGATGATTAACAAAACAACCATCTCTTGTCGTTACAAGCAAGTCACGAATATTCTCGTTGTAAATTTCAAAGTAACTTACGAACGCCAAGTATCTAATATTGGTTATCATGGATATCGCTTCAAATATGTGATCGAAACATTTTGGTATGATTCCATCGCTTATTGTATTATCCATGTTTTTAGTGCCCTTGTAAGGAAAGTATAAATTATATATTAAATACTAGTAAGAAGATTACATATATGGGCAATTCTCCGGTGTCGAATGCGACATTCGTACGCCTTCAAATTAAAAAAAACATGTGCCAAGACTTTATTTTAATTTTACAAAAATTGAAACGAATACTTCATGGTTAGCACTATAATTCGTGTAAAGGTCGATTTTAAATCCTTGTTCGTTTTCAAGATATTCAACTAAATGTACTGTATTCGCACGCGACAAAAACAGAAGTTACATTAGCCAAAAACCAGTTTAAGGTCTGATTTCAGCGAAACGTGATAAAAATTGTATTGCAATAAATTTTAATGAATTATATTAGTAATGTACTTTGTTAGATTTTAAAATATTAATATTATTAATATTATGATTTCAGCGAAACGTGATAAAAAATTTTATTACAATAAATTTTAATGAATTATCTTAATAATGTACTTTGTTAGATTTAAAAATATTAAGTAGTTTTTTTGTAATTAAATTTTAATCCCGGTCGCACGCGACATTTTTAAAAGCGAAATTGCATATGTCCTTTTGCATTCTATATGGACTCTTTGTATTCTCTGTCTTATATTAGAAAGCAAAAGTAAAAGCAAAATGCCTTTGTTTAAGAGATTGGCCTTTTTTTATAAAAATAACATAAATTGCGTTTACGCGTCTTTGACATCGATTATTTCGAAATTTATGTTAGAAAATTAAAAATTCTCTTAGTCTTGGTCAATCTTACCAATTTTTTATGAAACCATGTTAAAAATACTTGTTTTTAAACAATTTTAAGTTTTTGGCCGCGGTGGACCTTTCTGGAGAATTGCCCATATGTATATTGTATAATATTTAAGATAATGATAAAAGGTGGTCTTAAATTACCTGCATTGTATGTGTTTTGCCACAACCTGTCTGGCCATATGCAAAAATCGTTCCATTATATCCTTCAATAGAACTTTCCACTAGTGAGTAGCACATTTCATTATAAATTACTTCTGTTGTTGTATTCATATTATAAGCACTATCAAATGTGAATACTTTTTTTGAGCAAGTCGTGCTAATGGATTTAGCACAGAAACGGAATAGTCTTTAATATCTACAATGTTCTGAAATATTCGTTTTTATATTATTATCATTAAATTTAATTTTTTTATAGTAAATTCCATTATACTTACTTCACATTTACTCTCAATTTCATTTCGATTCATTGGCCGACACCGAACTACAACCTTAATGTTTTCACTCATTTTAGTTCACTGGGGAAAAATAATACTCTTTATTTGAATTAAAATCTTTTAATAATAAAGTAAGAGAAATATTTTTTTTCAATATTTTTACCCATATACGATAATATACCATATATAATTATATTTTTATATATAGGTATTTATGTTCATACTTAGGTTAGGTTACATACATACTTACATACATACAGAAATTATTGATTTACTATAGTTCAATGTAGAGCTTTCTTTAAACGTTACTTATTTGGGCGACCTTCAAGAAGTATATTTATAAAAAAAAATATAATCGAATATAGTTATATATATTACATATTTAAAAAAATGTTAACATAATTAATAACACTGCCAAGCCAAGCTTGTTAAAATAGCTTGGCTTACATAAAATATGATTGATAACTTTAAAGGATTTCCTTTCAAACATTGTAATTAATTTATTATTTGTGTAGATCTGAAACATTTTTCCTATCTAACAGATTACTTTATATATAAAATAAATATACATATGTATATGTATTTGGTTTAGACTTCTTTCAATGTCTGTCATCGGGAACCATTACGCTGTATTTTGAGAATAGTGTTACCACCAGTATGCAATTAGAACCCGTTAGGAATTTTAGCATCACCTCTAGTAACTGCGCCAAGTCCAAAGCACACAAGGCGGACCTGTCATTATTCACGCATTCAAAACTTTACCACATGGAGCTTTTATAAATAAATATACATACATACAGCAAGGATAAGCTTGCAAAGCTACATCTGAAGACAAAAACTTTTAACGCAAGGTACTTGTGATTCATGTTCTTCATTTAACATTTGGTTCAGTTTACGTTGAGTGTTTGGAAACGTCGTAGTACAAAAAATTCCCTTGGTAACAAGCGAAATAGATTAAAATTAAAAGGAATTCGGGAACCATTAAATGTCATAGATAACTTGCACAAAATAATGATACATTTAGCCAAGAGGTTTTTTTGAAGAAAATATTTTTGGTTGTGCTTTATTTTATAAAGAAAAATGCATTTTAAAGATGTATATACATTTATTCAGCATCTATAAAGCTTGTCGCGGATGGATATCTTTTCTGCGCATGTCCTGAAGAAGTTTGTCATTTCTTATAAAAAATTGTAGTATACGCTATAGGTATCAGAGTACATGTGATTCATTCATGAAATGCATACACACAAGGTTAATACGAAATGATTTGATCACTATTTCCATTCAATTATTTACATTAAATAGTAAAGATGGTCGTTGTGTATACATATAAAATTTAACAAATTTGAGAAAGCTTTATTTAATACGTCAGCAAGAATTCGATAAGTAAAGGTAACCCAACTTGTGTAGTCCATTTTTTTCACAATAAGAAAGAGACTCACTAAATAATAAATATTAAAATGACTGTTTTGTGTTTTTTTTTTTATTTATATTTATTTATAAGTTATTAAAGTGTACGGTATTTTTCAGCATCCTCTTTCTGATTTGTGGATTTTCTATAGGCATCCATGGCAGTATACAAAATGCAAGCACTTTCTTGCATTCAATTTAACGCGCATAATTACATAATTGGAAGAAAATATGCAAAATGCAGGAGAAGTAAATGAACTAATTTATGGCGGAAAGCACACGATTAACTTGCACAATTATTCAATGCTAATTGCACCATTAGATGACTTTTTTTTATAGAGCACGGCACCTGTAATTTTTAAATGCACATTAAATAACTAACGCACCTATAATTTTATTATTAAAGACAACAAGAAAGGAAGCTAAGCTTGGCTTGCCGCAGTTTGTATACCCGTGCGCAATTGAATTATCAACAATTAAGCCAATATGAATTATACATTAGAATTTCGATCACCAGGAACTAATACAATATAAATTATAATTATTTATGTCTACAAAAAATGGAGTAATACATGCTTTTATTTCATTCACCTTTACATATTAAATTTACAATTTTACTTTCACAGTTTTGCATTTTCCTCTAAATCTAACGACCGTTTGTATGGAAGCTTGATGTAGTCGTCCACAGTCATTTTACAAAATGAAAATCGAAGCTATATCTAAAATTTGATGAAAATCTGTTTAAAACTGAAAAAGATATATTTTTAATTGTATTAATTTCTCGATCATTCCTATGCCAGCTATATAATATAGTAGTCGGATATATATAAAATTTTTCACAAAATCTTAAAACAATATAGAATTTAAAAATAATAATAAAATTTCAAAAACAAAGTTTCATTCAGATAGCTTCAAAACTGAGAGACTAGTTTGAGTAGAAACGGACAGACGGGCACGCCGAAGTTTATGTACCCCTGCAGATAGAACTTCGATGACTAGCGATTAATACAATATAACTTATATACATACATATATTTATGTTAACGAACAATGAAGTAATGCCTGCTTTCATTTCAGTCACCTATACATATTATATTTACAGTTTTACATTTACAGTCTTTTTTTTCTATATCATTTGTAGGGCAGCTAGATGATATAGTCTTCCGCTACATTTTATAGCAGTTCGATTTTCATAAATTTTTTAACCAAAATCTAGATTGTTTTGGAATTGCTATTTGAAGAAAATTTGTTGAAAACTGAAAAAGTTATAAATTTTTTTTGTAAAAATTTTCAGATTTCCTATGACAGCTATATAATATAGTTGTTTGATCCGACCCGTTCCAACTTATATAGTAGTGAGAGTATATACATACATAGAAGATTAAATGTAAATTTTCATCCAGCTTTCAAACTGACAGACTAGTTTGCGTACAAACGAAGAGATGGACAAAAGGACGGACGAAAATGCTGATCCAAAATACATATTATTTTCATACTTCATATGGTCGGAGGTGCCTCCGGAGGTGCTAGGGTATAAATACATATGTAAGTTGAAAACTGAAAACTTGTAATCGTTTTATAATCAGCAAGGAAATACTAATTTATATTCCATTTGGTGTGCATTCCCTCGGTACTATAATTTTAGTCAGAACTTCGCAACGCAATGTAGGAACCCATTTTAGGCTATCTAAATAAAATTTTGTAGTTGGCTTTCTATATACTCTTACTGGTATGAATGTATTTCGAAACGGGACTGATCGGACGACTATATCATATATCTTCCAGTGTTAAATATAATCAGCCATTTTGTATTAATTTTATTAACATCGAACTACTATATACTACTACTATACCACAGAAGAGATTTTTAACTGTAAATATAATATGAATGTAACTAAATTATACATTACTTTGTTATTTTTAATATAAATATATATAGTATTTAATTTATTATTTATTTATAACCGAAATGCAATCTGCAATCGGCGAATATTTCAAGTATCGATATAATCATCATTATTGCGAAAATGTAACGTACTATTTTTTTGGTCCTTTTTGACTAATCACGATGGAAGAAATCTTGCATCTTGATCAGAGATCATACATATGTGCTTAGCAGAAATTTTGTAAGAAATCCAGCAGTAATATGTTACTTTGTTGTTTTGCTCAGTGTAAACATTGAAAATTTGTGGTCCAGGGGAAATCGAGCCCGTATAGATTTTTTTTACCGATTTGATTTTTGCTCGCTCGGGAGGAACTTGTACCTTGTACCCGGGTATAAACATTTCTGGAGGTAGATGCTTTCGCTGTTTTCCACAGATTGTTATATATTATATATGTATGTACATATATTAACCAATACTTTGGGAAAACATAATATTTAAAATTACCTTACAATATAAATAAAATGAAAAAAACTCGCCAAAATTGTATTAAATTCCTAACAAAACTTTATATTATTAAAACTGTTGACATAGGGAAATATTTATATAACATTTTTGTACTTTTTTCTATGCCATGCATGATTTCTGACAATTATATACCTTAGGTGCAGATATAAACGTTTTGTTATTTTCTTTTATTTTGGTAGAACTTACATATCAATCAAATGCTAGCCAGAGGGTCGATTCTCTATTCAGTGGGCATTTTGGAATTCTAATTAAGTTTTGAAAATGCATTACAATTCGCTTTTGGTATGTATTAAAAATATGTAAAATGTGTTACATTGCGCCATTAGGTCGCCAGAGTTCAATTTAGATAACTAATGAAATATTTTTCTGCAGATCAAGTACATACAAATTGATGTATTATTAGTTTTGGCAACCCTTCGATATGGAAATGCTAACTATCTTGGCACTCCTCGTAGTCGTGAAAGAAATTTGAACAAGGAAAATGCGATCAAAACGGACGACACTTCCGGTGGCGTGCGAACAGTTGGTGAAGTTTTTGTGCCAAAAACATTCTCACTGAACTCACAAGAGCCAACATGCGAGCAACTGCGCGCCATGTGGATGTAAGGGTCTCTCAAGTTAAAGTTTTGGGAAAAAATTACAATATTTACATTTTTAATATTTATTTTAAAGATTTTCTAAGAGGCAATCTAGAGCGGCAGAGATTACAAATGAAATACCAACGTACCGTGACCCATTTACGTATAATGTTTGGGAACCACTTTATTTTAACTCACGAATGCTGGGATCGTAAGTTTATATAAATTTTTTCAAAATTTCTATTAGTTGTTACCCTTGCAGGATATCTTTTTTTCCGAAGAAGCGAAGCGGTATTATATTCTATTTTTAATTTATTTTGAAACAGACTTAGGATGGGCGGTAGGGAAAGATCGCGATCGCCAGTGTTTGGTCGGGTTGTTAGTCGAGAACCAAGTTTGCCACAACGGATGCCAATATCTCCCTTGGAACATCATCAAAAGGAGCGTCTGGTGGAATTTGGATTGAGTAATCCTCCACCGGGAACAAGTCAAACTAGATTTTACGGCTCTGAGATTCGTCCACAAAATGGAATATCTACGTCCTCTTCATCAAGAAGATCAAATAAAAACCGTTATGTGGGCGGAATACCAAGCGAAAGTGGTGGAATTGGATCTAATACTAAAGATAACCAAAATTCCGTTGCCATACAAGGAAGTTTTCAAAAGCTGAAAGAGTTAATATGGACAGAGCGGGCTAAGGAATTAACACAGCAACGTAGGGATGAGGAAATGGCAGCACGTGCTGCTGCTCTCAAGGAAATAGCCAATGGAAAAAAGTATGAATTGATTAAAACAAATTGAATTTTATATCTAAAACAATTTTTAATTTAAACAGCATATTTGCAAACAACAATCCTCAATCTTTTGGCAGTTCCTCCTCCGAATCAATTATGATGGACCAGAACCGCAGCCCCGACGCTGAAAGTTATCAATATAACCAAAACAACGCTAATCGCATGACAATATTAAATGAACAAAATTCGCAAAGGGATAAAGTTAACAATATAAAAAATCACAAAACTGGAAACCGAGCAACTACGCGCCGCATCGGATCCTCAGCGTCTTTTCCATTTTACAATGCCAAAGAATACCAAAGTAGTAAAGAAAATGCTAAGAGCATATTCTCGAGAAGGTATGGAAATATTAGACAATTAAATCAAGGTGCAGCAACTACCGGTCGCATATCAAGCGACTTAATGCCCGAAAGAGATCATAGTACTATTATTGGGATACCAAGGACATATCCGATACGAAAATCACACTTCAGGGAGCGAAATCGATCACTTTTTAAAGAGGTAATTTGCTTAATTAAATAACCAAATCATTTTATAACTAAAACAAGAAAATTAGTTAACTTCGGTATGCCGAAGTTTTTATACCCTTGCAGAATGCAACAGTTTTGCATTCACAGTTTCAGTGTTATTATCCGGAATTATCCGGGAATCATTAAGGAATCCTGCTAGGAATTTGTCGTGAATGTCGACACGAATTCCTTCGTGAATCAGAAGGGAATTTCAAACCGAATTCTTAACGGAATCAGCCAGGAATTCGAGACGGAATCAGGCAGTAACCGTAGGGGAATTCAGAGTAGAATCAGATAGGACTCTCAAAGGAATACCAGATAGAATCATTAAGGAATCGTAGGGGAATTTTGGGTATTGGGTTGGTCATGTCGTTTTTTTTAGTAATCGTTTTTAATCTAATTTATTTACGACTAATCGAGCACCAGGGTCACACTTTTTAAAATCGTTTTAAAGCTTATTGTCTTGGGTACTATTGACGAAAATTTGGTAATTATTCGATAACATTTGTGGAAGCTTTAGCAAATTAAACATGGAGGACCAAAGTGAGCATTTTCGGCATATTTTGCTTTTTTACTTTCGAAAAGGAAAACGCTGTCGAAGCTGTCGTATGGTAAAGATGGCATGAGTGATCGCCAATGTCAGCGCTGGTTTACCAAATTCAAGCTTGGAGGTTTTGGAGTTAAAGACGCCCCACGTTCTGGTCGACCATCGGCCATCATCTTTGAAAATATTGAAAAAAAAAACGACATGACTTTCTTGCCAACCCAATAGAATCAGATAGGAATCCCAGAGGAAAACGTGTAGAAGATACCCGCACACCCCGGCCCATAGTAAATATCTGACGCAATTTATAATTTATTTTTTTGTTTATTTATTTATTTAAAAAACTTTACAATTTGTTCAATAATTACCATAATTTTTTCTTAGCACAACCTCTGGCATTTCCACTAAACGTATCCCTTCAGTACCATTCCTTTAGGATTCAGGTCTGAATCAGGTTTGATTGTGAGGTCTCTATCCTGAATCAACTGAATACAAATAATAAATAAATAACAATATTTAATAAATTACAATGCAAAACACTTGTGAATACTTCAGCTATCATTAGACCTGCAAAAAAAATCGACTTCAACAACGAGACTATCGATTCTTTTTTTTTTTAATAATATTTTTCATCATCTCACTTTAATTTCCGAACCGCTGCTTCGAATTGTTGTTCGGCCATTGCCTACTTTGTTTCGGAGGTCTCTTACCGAAACTCATGAGATTTGTTTTTGTTTTCGAACATGACACCAGGAATCGGACAGAAAAGAAATTTTGGTACTTAAGGGGACGTACTTTAAAAAAAGAAAATGAAATTCTAGAATAATACAAAATGGCTAAATCTCAAAAAAGTAAAATACCTTCATATGCTATAATAGCTATCTTCCGATCCGGCCCGTTCCGTGGCTAAATCGACTCGGCTGCTTATTCTGATCAAGAATATATATATATATATATATAACTATATATATACAGTTACTCACATTTAAATTTTCCTCTACGTGACAACTATGTATGTATATATTATAGTTGTCCGATTTTTATCAAAATTTAAAATAAATTGCAGAATAATTTAAAATGGCTATATCTTAAATTTTATAAAAATCTGTTTTAAACTAAAGAAGTTATAATTTTTATTTTTTTTAATTTTGCGATCGTTCCTATGGCAGCTATATGATACAGTCTTCCTATTAGGGATGTTCCGACATATGTACATATGTATGTATATACGAGTGAGAGTATATAGAAGACTTTGCAGTTAAGCTTTATTCTGATAGCTTCAAAACTGAGAATGTTGTTTGCGTAGAAACAAACGGGAAGACGGACATAGGTAGATCGACTCGGCTGTTGATGATGATCAAGAATATATATACATACTTTATAGGATCGGAAATGTATCCTTTATTGCGTTGCAAACTTCTGACTAATATTTTAATACACTGCAAGGGTATAATAAATAAATCATTGTAAATTGTTTGTAGATATTGGGACCGAAAAAATATAAATATGAAGCTCAGATATAAAAATATTTTGGTAATCTAACAACAGGTATATTCTCTAAATATTTTAAAGCCGCAGGAAAATAATTACTTTCGACGTGGTCTACGAGGGCTATCGGCTTCATCATTAAACTCGGAAAGAAATAAAGGAACAGACAAAGGCAATAATGATGTAGGTCGACAACTGAATTTGTTTGATGAATACAACTATAACCCTCAACCGCCAAATGATGAAAATTATTTTGCATCTGTGGAAAATGATAATAATGATAAGCTGGGGAAAATAATTCCCGAAACTGAACATCTGAACATGGAAGTTGAATTCCCAGATTACGGAAACTATTGATTACGTCGTAAAATCTCTTAAAGCCCAAATATTATCTCTAAAGGATTTTAAGGCGTCTATTAATCATTATAAACCCATTTATAAGACAATTTCCTGAGTTTCAGCTAAAATTTGCATTGTAAATACATATTTTTATGTTGATATTCATTCAAATAACAGTAATTTTGTAGAACACAGAAGCAAAAGAAAACACATGGAATTTTATAATACATACTTTTAGAGACGATTTTAAATGTCTACAAACTAAGTTCTAAAAATGGTATCAAAATGCCAATGTAAAATAAATAATTGATTAGGTTTTTTCATTTAAATATAAATGAGATACCATATTATACTTATGTACATGTATATGTACGTACTTATGTGTATGTATGAACTTAAAATGTAAACTCCAAAGTTAGAAAAAAAAAAAAAAAACAAAATGCTTCCAACCAATAACAATCAATTTCAAAATAAGACATTACTATATATCTTTCCGAACTTCAATATATACTTTATGCAAAGCTTCGAAAATAGATATATAATTTTATTCGTAAAGTATATATTTCTAGTAATTATAAAATTAAAAAAATGTTTTTGTAGTCATCTGATAGGTATAGACATATCACGACGATCCGCAATTATGACTGTTTTTAGACTCCAGCAAGAGTGCAACCATTCCAAATCAGAAAATTTAAAATTCCATGTATAACATTAATTTTAATATATATCCATCAAATATTAAAAACTTGAAAAATGTAAAAAAAAAAAAACCCCTACACTAAGAAAATGTATTTAAAATTTCCAGAATACCAATTATAACATGTATATATATGCAATTGTGCCTGCTCTGAAAAAATATCTGTTTAAAAAAATCACAATTTTGGACATCTAAAAAACAGGTTGCAAAAGGAAAAATGAAAACCTTAACCTCACCATCGCAAAAATTCATACGGTAGCAGATCATTGTCATATTTATAAAGTCAGTTTTTTATTATCTGCTGATAGTAGTTTTGATCTGAAAATATGAATGTATCATATCCAACTATTATTAATAATAATTGAAATAACTATGAACCCTAAAAGTATAATCTAAGCCTTGGATCACTTAATACCTTAAATAAATCTGCAACTAGTATTATTTACCTAAATAATATATATTATTTGCAAATAATGAATGTTTCGCACATCGAGCATAAACATATCAGTATATATTTTCTTATATTTTGCCTCCGTACTTAAACTGTCTTTCTTCTGAATCACTTGTAAGCTTTATGTGAAGAATTGTAGAAATATATGCATTTATAAGCTAAATATCACTTATCAATATGACTATTAAAAACTGTATGATTCCAAAAATAAACAAAATATTTAATAGTACTTAAGAGTATAAATCGATATATATATATCAGAGAATGGATCACGAAAGTGATAATATATTACTATTATATACTATATTCTATAGAACCATTATCATCATCAGTATTTACACATGTACGACAATAAAACCTATGTTGTAAGTTCCGCGACAATAATAGAAACTATTTTATATAGTAGGAATATAATATACAAATAGGGAGTAATTTACAAATGATTTATAAATGTATGTATGATATCCATTATATAAATAATAACCAAAACACTAAAATTGTCTACGCATGGTTGGTGTTTTCAAAAATCGAAAATCGATTATTACATATAAATTAATTTAAGCAAATAAACAAAAGTTGATTGTAAAATACGCTGTACATTTAAAATTCAAAAATTAAAATAAAATAACGAACTATATACCAAAGCTTTCTTTTCTAATTCACTTCAGAATTGTTGGATCTAAAATATTTTTAGGATATCATAAAGGTATTTAATAACAAGAGAGGAAACTAACTTCATCACGCTGTATTTTGCATACTCTTGCAGATAAAATTCGATCACTATGAATTAAAACAATATATATAAATTATATAAATTTATGGTAAACAAGAAACGAAGCTAACTTCGGCACTACCCTCGCAGATAGAACTTCGGACAATTTAAATTTATACAATATAAATTGTAAATATTTATGTTCTTTCATTTCATTCACCTATAAATATTATATTTACAGTTTTACATTCACAGTTTTGCATTCCCCTTTAATCTCTATTCTCCTATATCTAACGATCGTTTGTATAACAGCTATATAATAAAGATATCCGATTTTCAAAAATTGAAACAGAAATTTTCGAATAATATAAAAGGGATGTGTATCAAATGTAATAAAAACATGTTTAAAACTGAAAAAGTTATAGTTTTAAATTGTATTAATTTCTCGAACTTTCTAATGGCAGCTATAAGATGTGATAGACCGATATTCATAAAATATTACACCAAATTTTAGAGTAATAAAAAAGGGCAATATCTCAAATTTAATGAAAATCTGTTAAAAACTAATATAGTTATACTCTTAATTTAATTATTTCCGAACGTTCCTGTGGCAGCTTATGATATAGTCGTCCGATCCGGCCCGTTCCGAGATATGTACGACTGAGAGTATATAGAAGACTAGCTACAAAGTTTTATTCAGATAGCTTTAAAACTGAGAGACTAGTTTGCGTAGACAGACAGGGCTATATCGACTCTGCTGACCAAGAATATATAAACATAAACTTTATATGGTCGGAGATTTTTAATTCATTCACCATACATAATACATATATTTATCCCAAATGAAAATATCTTGTATTTTATTTAGAAGTTTGCAACGTAGTGAAGGAGTCATCTTTGACCATATAAAGTAAATACATAGCATCAACACATGAATCGATTAAGCTATGTATGTATGTATGCCCGTCTGTCAGTTTCTACGCAAACTTTGTAACTTTTTTAGTTTTCATCAGATTTTCATTAAACTAGGATATAACCATTTCTATATTATTTTAAAATTGCGTTGAAAATTTTATAAAAATCGGACTCATTATCATACTTTGCTAAAAACAAGAACCCTTGCAGGTTGCAGTTTGATCCTAGGTATCATACAAATAAATTAGATATATTTATGTCAAAAATCATATTTACAGTTTTACATTCACAGTTTTGCGTTTTTCAGTATATGTAATGATATTTTGTCCGATAGTAGTCCGATTTTCCGAAAAATTTAAACCGAAATTCTAGAATAATATAAAATGGCTTTATCTCAAATTATATGAAAATCTGTTGAAATAATTCTTACTTTGCCAATTTTATAAAAATTTTCCGATCGATCCTATTGAAACTATGTATATGACATGGTCGTCCGATCAGTCCCTTTCCGACATATGTATATACGAGAAAGAGTATATAGAAGACCAACTTAAAAGTTTTATTCAGATAGCTTCAAAACTCAGAGACTAGTTTGAGTAGAAACGAACAGACGGACATGGGTAGAGCATGATGCTGATTAAGAATATACATACATATGTACATATATACTTTATATGGTCGGAGATCATATTGCGATGCAAACTTCTGAATGAAATTATAATACCCTGCAAGGGTATATGTTAATTATAACCTTTTCAATTTTCAAGTTTAAGATATAGCCATTTTATATTATTCTACAATTTTGTTTAAAATTTTATAAAAATCGGAATACTATATCATATAGCTGACATTGGAACGATCGAGAAATGAAAACAATTAATAATTATTACTTTCGACATATGTACATACATACCTTATACATATGGTCAGAGATGACTCCTTCACTGCGTTGCAAACTTCTGACTGAAATTACAATACCCTCCAAGGGTATAAAAATCATATAAATTGGGTAAAACGTTTTGGCGAAACTTTGTGTTATAAAGTTCTTAACTTTAAGAGAACATTTATCAAATAAGTCGTTAGTCACCCACAGACTTTGAAGTCTTTTGAGATCTAATCAAAATGAGTTTCTTCTTTGATATTGATAACAATTGAAAAAGGAAGACAGCAGTACCCTAATATAGCTTAAATAACAACAAAGGATGTATAAAAACCGCAAAGCAAAATGCCGACAAGGTTTTTCCAAACCAAACAAAAGAGGTCAAAATTGTTACAAGACAAAGTGTAGGGAGCTCCGAATAGTTTTTACACAGTTGAACCCTACTTAGGGGTGCGACGAGGTGCGTACATAAAACAGCGAGCATTAAGACTACCCTTGAAGCAAACAATTAAAATTATTTTCTTTGTATGCGGGATTTGTGCATGAATAAGACTGTGCATGATGATCTCTTTCTTTGTGTCTGTATTGTTTAGGGCGGGATATTCTATCATCGTGTATAAAGCAAAATATGTATCTTCGAGTTGCCTGATCCGACCGGATTGGCCTATGTATTAACGGACTCGCCGCTTATGGGGACACATATCATAAATTTTCCATATGTGCATTTCTAATTTAATATCGAAAGCTCTCTGGAAGAATTTTATGCGATCTCTTAATACATCTTTACCTTATAAAATCCGTAAATGAACTTACATTGCTTTATATGAAACACGCGTTTCGAATTATTTACCGGACACGGAAATATTACTTTAAATAAACGGCGTATCATCACGAGTAAAAGAAAAATGGCATAAGTAACGCATGTTTCGTCGAGGGACTTTGAATCTGTGCTTATTAAGTGGTAATGGGCAAGTGTGTGGCGTGTGCACGGGAAATTAACAAAGGAGCGTGCCGTATACGCACCGTAGTATTATTTGCTTATATAAATGGGTATATTCGTTTATTAATGTATTGCCTGAATTATACATATTGGAACAGCAATTATGATATATATAATACTAAAGGGGTAAGGAGATTTTGCAAAATTGCTTTTTTTAACTTTGCATGGTATTATTGTATAAGTAAAAAATGTACAACGCAGTAAAGAAGACATTTTCGGCCCTATAAAGTATGATCAGAATCAAAAGCCGAGTCGATCTAGCCAAGTCCCTCTGTCTGTTTTTACGCAAACTATAATCTAAGTTTTAAAGCTATTTGTATTAAACTTTGCAGTCAGTCCCTTATATACTCTCACTAGTTCATATACCACAACGGGACTGATCAGACCTGCCATAAAACAATCAACCAATTTCTAGATAAAAAAGTATAACATTTTCAGTTTTCAGATTTGCATTTAATTTTAAATATAGCTATTTTAAAATATTTTAGCATTTCGGTTTAAGTTTTATACAAATCGGACGACTACTATTTCATATAGCTGACATACAAACGAGCGTTAGATACAAAGGAACATGCAACATGCAAATATAAAACTGTAACAGTAATAGGTGAATGTAATGAAAGTAGGCATTCTTTGTTGTTTTGTAGCATTTATATAAAAATGTATATTGAATGAATTCCTAGTGATCGAGTTGCACCTTGCAAGGGTATACAAATTTCGGTGTGGCGAAGCTACCTTTCTTGTTTGGATAATTTTTGGGGCAACTTCTGGATAGAAGTCTTCGA